AGAAATGTCAGAATCTCAGATATCAATGATTAAATATTAAGAATTAGAAACACATTCAGATGGCAGTTATGAGAATTTGAGAACCATTTTTAAAACAAGGCAGCAATACAAATGAATTTATTTTAAACTGCCCCAACTAACTATGCCCCACCTCAACCCTCACCATCACCACGTAAAGCAATTCCTGTCAGGTATTGAATCGTGGTAACAATGAAGTGCCAAGCAGAGTAGCTCCCATTGTTAAATGTCACATCATTCTTCCACCAAATGAAAGATTTGGGTGGACTTTTCTTAGAGTCTCCTGTGCTGATGTCTTGGGAACCTGAACTGAACTCTCAGAATTAGTCTCTACATATGATCTACTCTTCAGTAGCTGCCTTTTATCGGATCAGATCTGCAGCACATTCAAAGAATTTTTTTTGTCACTCTGTGATATGTGTATAGCATCCTTTCTTAGCTAATATAAACTCCCTCACTCTTGCTTTTCTAAAAAAATATAGTTTTGCTCATTTCAGTTGGTCTCATGGAGAGTTTGGGTAGAGGTTAGTGTCTCTTCCTGCTTCAGTCACTTGTACAACTCGAGATGGCCATTCTTTTATTTTGGCTAGAGAAGCTCTTGGCTAGCACAACATTCAGGTCTCTGACCCTGTGAGGCATGTGCTGGGCCAGAGATCTGTTTCCTGCAGTTTCTACTCCCCAGCAGGCCCCAGTGCTCTCATACTGTTTCAAGTTTTGCCTGAGTTCAGCCTCCGAACGCTTTCCTCACCCCCACGCGCTCTCAGACGCCCACATCAGCCTGCCATACAACAGATGCCTGTATGCTCTGCTGTTTCCATTCTCTGCACATGTCCCTCCTAGGGGTATGGCTTGGTGATGATCACTGCTTTGGAGATACAAGATGGCCTGCCATCTGGAGATAAAGACAACTGTCATGTCTGATGCTTCTCCTCAGAGGATGGTAAGGCACTCAGTGAGATCAGTCATCTGAGATGAGCTGAAATGCCTGTTGAAAGTTTCTGGGGTGCAGAAAACAAGGGAGCGAGAGTTCTCTTCTCTATGCTGCCTGCCACCTGGCCTTGGTTCCAGAAGAGCTGAAATTCTCAATATTAGAAGTGACGCCTCCATGGCACCCCTGTGGCCTTGACAGCAAAGTTATCTTCAAATTCAGGAAATGCGGCACTGAAATAAAAAAGAACTGTCAGGCACTGTACAAAAACAGACTCAAACAGAACAAGACTATCACTTTGCTGGAAATAAGACAGATTGTGTAAGCATGTCAAAGTCAACACAGGCCATAAAGAGCTAGCAGTGCAGAGCTTCAGGAATAATGTTCTTCATAAGGCACTTGGAGCAATGCCTTGGGTTAGATATGGAAGCCAGTGGTGACTCCCTATGGACCTCATAATTTTGGGTCAGAAAGGGTCTGAGAACAGGCAAGATGCACATCAGTGGAGTCCTCAATTCCAGGGTCAGTTTTTCACAATCTCCCCATTCAGGCAGAGAAACGTGTATAGTTTTGGGCATCAGAGGTGGCCTGTGAAATCCAATTCAAAAGACCGGGGAGGGCAGAGGTGAAGGGGAGAAACTTCTCTTGGAACACCTGGGTCTTTACATTTACTGAGAGGTTATAAGAAGGAGCTCGGGGAGTTGCATTCTCTTCTGTCTCAGTTAGCAATGGAGAGACTTGTTCTTTCTTTAGAGACCAGATGAATTTCCAGTGGTTGGAAGCAGAAACTCCACTGCTCAATTAGAAAGACGTCCAAGAGTCCTCCTTCTTCCCAGCAGCTATCGGCTTTTGTCCAGTCTATAGATTAATTTTTCAGACTTAGTGTTAGTTCACGTTAGATAAAGATAATGAAAGTTTCCTAATCCTCTTAAAGAAGATTTATCTGACTGAGTAGAAAGCTTTTGGAATACAATAAGGCATGTATAAAACTGAGGCCTAATCTTGCCTTTAATTTCAAACTGCTGATGGGTATTGATTTTGCAATGAGAAAAACTCAAAAATTTCCGAGCTGCAACATGTCTGTTAAAAAAAAGTGTTTATTTATCTTCTGTTCATTTGAGAGTGTTAGAATCTCATCACCTCTGCCAACCAAGTGTCATTAGCAGAAGGGAGAACAATCCCATGGGGCCTTGGCTTTGTCACTCCCTGCTCCTGCAATGTGAGGAACTGAAAGATGCTCTGTCACTACCCTCAGAGCCCGTCCTTATTGTTTTATAAGATGGCCTTTGCCACATATCTAATGGAATTAATTTCCAAGTGCTTTCTTTGAAAGGAGAAGTTGCATTTATTAAAATATTGTCACTGATACCCAAGGTACATCTTGACCACTGGGGATAATTTCAAAGCATCATGTGTGACAATGTGAGCTAGACTATGTACTTAGATGTTAAGGAAATCTACTACCATAGTGGAAGTATTTCTATGCAGTCAGATTAGACAGGGTAGGAAAATAAACCTGACAGCCCTGTATGGGATGGAGTGAGTAGAGAGAAGCCGGAGGCACAAGGACAAGAAATAAGTTACTCCAATCACCCAACAAGTATGCCAAGAGTGGGCTGTGGATCTACCTGCAGAAATGAAGATGTTTCCTCCAAGAGATATTATCCAAGAAAAATTGAGAGAATTAATTTTAATGCCTTGAAAGAGGAAGAATTAAGAGGATCTCTCCTACATTTTCAAGTTTGGGGAAATGTTTATGGCCTCACTAGTAATTATGCAGTTAGGATCCTGTGCCACTAGGAAAGAAAGCATTAGGCTTGCTGGGTTTAGGGATAAAGAAAACACAAACATTACACTGATATTTTAGAACTAAGGAACAGATGTGACTCAATACCAGAAGAGGTATATTTGAGACCCATGATGAATTTGCTAGCTTAAAAGTAGGTGAGTTTCCTGAGATTAACTATTTTTAGAAAACAGCAGAAACTATAATTTATTTATATCTTCAGTATATAGCATACTGAGGCATACTAGGCATTCAGCAAATATTTATAAAATGAAGAGAAAAACAGATTGATACAGCAAATGAAATGGCATATGAAGGCAGTGATCATAAAGCCTCTTCAAGCAGAGAGAGATGAGGACTGAGTCCACATGACTTGGAGTGGACAGTAACTGGGAACAGTTCCCTGGAGGAATAAAGACTTTCTATGTGACAAGCTAAGAGGTATGTCATAATAGGGATAAAATGAATTTCATGCATTTATTTAGTACTTTACAGCACTGGTCACAATCTATGACTTATTTGATCCTCACAACAAACCCTGGGAGGCTGCAGTGAAGTGACTGTTATCTTCATTTTACAAATTAGAAAACCACAGCTCACAGAGGTTAAGAGGCTCGCCAGGGTCCCCGGGAGTAAGTAGTGAAGCTGGGTTTTAAATGATGCCCATATAACTCCAAGATCAGTGTTTCTCCAGCATACTCCACCACCTCTACCACCAATCATGTCTAAAGTTATTTTTCCAGATTCATGAGAATTTTCCAGTTATCCTTTTTTCTCACTTTTTCCCCTGCTACAGAGATTGCATTGTACCAGCGGAAATTCAGTACAAAGCTCAAGAAAGAAAATTAGCAGCAGGGGTGGGATGCCAGTTACAATGAATGATGTAGAGAAGCTGAGAGAGAGGCAAAGAAAACTGAATTAGGAGTAGCTCATTCAGGAATTAAAATTTTAAATGTTACCTCTTTATCCTATATATGTACTGAAAACAAGGGCATTTTAATTCAGGAATTAAAATTTTAAATGTTACCTCTTTATCCTATATATGTACTGAAAACATGGGCCCCTTTGAGAATCTAGTACCTAATTGTCATTCTAATTGTCATGAACTCTTCGGCATTCTGAAACTATGCGGATATACTCATGCAGCTGCAGTTGTTGTCATTATCAGGAATAGATAGAGAGATCTAGTGGATTTTACTTCTCAGATGTTGATATTCTCTGTCTGCTCTCTTGGCTTAGTTCAGAAATCTGTTTATTACCAGATATTTCTTCTCATGGAATGAATTTCTCTTACTAAACCCAATTTTATGCAAAGGGCTAGAAATGATGAATTATGTTAATTTCTCACATCTGAGACTTCACAGCAAACATATGCAATTTCTGTGTCTGCAAGAGACTTTGGGTCTGTGAATCTGGAGTCATTTTAGGTGAGACTGGTTGGGACTCAAAATTTAGTTTAGCAGGTAGAGAAGTCAGATTTGCCAACCAGCCCAGTCCTAGATTTTGCTGAGTGCCAGCTAAACTCTGTGTTTGGGCACATTAAGTATAAACAT